ACATGTGGGGGCAGAAGGTTGATCTAATTTGCCTAGTGCCACACATTTGGAAATTGGGCTCAAACTCAAGATGTGCCTGATTTCAGAACTGCTCTTGTGTGCACAATAGGGTGGAGTGGCTGGTGGAACAATGGGAGGGGAATCAGCAGGAGGACTTTGAATGTTTCCTCCCACTCTGCATTTCTCTGCCACATCAAGAGACTCTCGCCACCCCCCTCACCCCTTGAAGAGACTCTATAGGCCCACTCTCCTCACTGTCTTGATGTCTTGATGTATGCTAATTTGGGGACCAGGCCTCTAGCTGCTATACTCTGGAGGAGTTGATTTCACTCTCCCAAATATGAAATCAGCCAACCCTGTAATAAGTTATTCGCTCAGCAGGATCTGCCTCTTCTGGAGTTATACAGATATTATCTGTTTAATCCTCACAAACCCATGTGAATATAATATCAGTCACACAGTATGATTTCCCTTTAATCAGTGAGGACTGTGTGGATGGGAAAAACTGAACCAGGAAGCCTGAAAGTGTCATATTTAACTCAAGAACAATGTCTTGTGTTTTAGAACTCCAAACAAGCTAAAAACAACTGCGTATGTGGTTTGAACAGACTGATGCCTCTTTTCCATGCGTCTAACATTTTGAACTAGCTAAGTACGTAATTGTCATTCCATCTGAAGTTTCTTATGTGGTGGTATTAATAATACCCTACTGTATATAAAACATTTTAAGATGAAAAACTGAGGCAGGTGTGGCATAGGAGGTTAAATGGCTACCTGCAGTGCCAGCATCCCAAATGACTGCTGTTCCACTTTTGATCCAGTTCCCTGCCATTGTGCCTGGGAAAGCAGAAGATGGCCTTTGTATGTCCATGTATCAGTCTCAAATGGAGCTTCTGGCTCCCGGCTTCAGTCTGGCCAGCCGTGGCCATTGCAACCATTTGGGGAGTGAGCCAGTGGATACAAGACCTCTCTCTCTTTCCTTCTCTCTTTGTAGTTCTGGCTTTCACATAAATAAATATGTATTTTTAAATAAGATAAAAACGCAAGATACTCCCTTTATAGCTACTAAATACTGAAATCAACAAGATTTCTTTTTATGCTGTTCACCTTTTAACTTGGTACATTAGAAGGTCCCACGGAACTTTCTGAATGCAACTTTTTGAAGCAACTGTGCTTTTCAGCCATATTTTTAATAAACGAATGTTGAGCCTCATACATGCATACACCCCTCACAATACTGTTATCACAAGAAAATATAATAATGTATGTTAAGTGTTGGGTATTAGAACTTGGCCCGGGCCGGCGCCACGGCTCACTAGGCTAATCCTCCGCCTTGCGGTGCCGGCACACTGGGTTCTAGTCCCGGTCGGGGCGCCGGATTCTGTCCCGGTTGCCCCTCTTCCAGGCCAGCTCTCTACTGTGGCCAGGGAGTGCAGTGGAGGATGGCCCAAGTACTTGGGCCCTGCACCCAATGGGAGACCAGGAGAAGCACCTGGCTCCTGCCATCGGATCAGCGCGGTATGCCGGCCGCGGCGGCCATTGGAGGGTGAACCAACGGCAAAAGGAAGACCTTTCTCTCTGTCTCTCTCTCTCTCACTGTCCACTCTACCTGTCAAAAAATAAAAATAAAAAAAAAGAACTTGGCCCATGGTAAGCACTTGAAAATAGCCACATCAGATTCTCAGCACTTGTTGCTTTTCCTTGCTACATCTAAAATACCTGACAGGCACTTCTTAGGAAGAAAGAAAGTGTATTTCAATGTACAGAGTTAAGGTCTAAAAAAGTCTAAGTTTAGGCACTCCCACTGTTGAGTGTATTTGGTGGAGGCAGATGGGGAGATTACTTGGTAAGGTAGGAATCAGCAGCTGATCCCAACGTGGCTGTTAGAACCAACCCTCTCAGGAGAATGATTTTCCACGTGCATGCTCCAAAATGACCTAAAGACCTCTCACTGGGTGCACCTTCTGAACATTCTGATTGTACCAAGTCTCCACCGTTGACTCATTGATCATTGCCATTAGTCCATTAACAATTCACAGAGGAATGTTGAGGACCGAGCCTTCCATACACGGGCTTTTGGGGGACCCTCTCTTATCCAACTGCAGCAGTAGATGACCTGTATTTCCTTTTGTGTGCCCAACAGCTGATGACACACACAGGACTCTTGCCTCAGGGAAGTACGTGTGTGTAAATACCCCAGGAATCTTGGCATGCATTTGGAGAGGGCAATACATCAATATATACTTCACATCATTTCATTCTCGCCACAATTCAAGGAGTACAGGGGATATCCCTGTTTTACAGATAAGGATCTTGTGGACACAGAAGAGCTGTCCCCACAGTCATCGCATGCAGATTTAGATTCTATCACTTGATTGTTTCTTCTGGAAGAAGTCTCATGAAAGATGGTGTCTTGACCTAGCGCAAGTGGCTGGGCCATCCAGTATTAAACAGTGAAATCTAGATGTGAGCACTGAATAATTTGTCTTTATTCCTACCAGTATTAAGAGCTGAGAGGAAGAGAGCGTTTGGTCATGAGAAGTGAGCAAATCCACACCATGGGGATGAAGGCCAGGTTCTTTGAGCTCTCACATTGTGTGCACTGTGCCCAGATTGTGTGTGGGCTGGAATAGCGTCTGACTGTCTTGTCAAGTCCTAGCAGTAAAGCAAACTAGGAGGAAAAGCAACCAAAAAGATCAGTTTTTCTGGATTGCCTGGATGTTGGTTCACTGGAACTGACAATCAAGTAGAGTTTGCTAGGCATTAAGTCTTAATTTCCTATTTTATGGCCTGCAGCATCTCATCGAGAAACATGTGTTTACTGTCATAATATTTGTTAACATTTATTGAGTGTTTATGATGTGCCAGTATATATTTTGAATGTTCCACGTGTGTTAACACATTAACACATTTTGCTCTCACTGCAGGCCAAGCTTTTGGTCAAGCTGTTTCCATGTAAAAAATATTAATTTTGAAGGCTTATAACTTAAAACTGCCATGCACCAAAATATGACCCCACAAAGCACTGCTTCCTTGCAAAGCTTTTACAGTGTGTTATTGTCACAGTCCAGTCTTTGCCCATTAAATTTAAATAGCCAATTGAGGCAAATAATCCTGTGAGTGTTCTTCCCAAATCAGACTCGGATCTGTTTCAACTTCTGGACTTTCTACTTGATGATTTTGTGAGCTCCAGCAGTCTTCTTGTGCATGATGGTTATCTACCTCATGAAACAAATAACAGAGCAACATTTAAGAGTGATGATCAATGTTACTTTATTTACAAGAAAACCAAGGCATGAGGAAGTTAAGCATCTTAACCAGTGTCATGTTCCAGAAACCATGCACTTGATTGCCACACAATAATTCCTCTCACTGTGCAAAGTGAGCAAGTAGTCCCAATAGGAACCCCCAAGCTACTGCAAAAAGCTAAATTCCAACATTGAAATAAACTGGAGCTTTGTAGCAAATGCATTGGATTAACTTATGTTGGAATTGATCAGGAAATTCTTCTGAATTTAGTCAAATTGTCATGTGAGTGATTTGGGGATTTGCCAACTTCCCACCCTAGGCTAAGGCTGCTTTCCTGGGGTTGGCCCATGTCTTTCTAGAATACTTCTCATAATTTTGAGAGCATGGTTCTCAGGTTAATTTTCTACCCAGGAGAAATGATGATACCCGCTGGTCATCAGTTAAAATCTTTAATAGTTGGTTCAGAAATAACAGCCACCACAGAGATGTATTCACCAGCAGGGCTTTAGACTGAAATATACCTTGGTCCTATGCTCTGCAAATACACTTCTCATCTCCTGGATATCTACAATCTTTTTAGCTATAGAATCCTTTGACCACACCTTTCCAAAAACTGATCTGTATTATTCTAAAAGAAAAAAAAACATGCTTAAGAATTTATTTTGTTTTTAATTGATAGATAATAATTATATATGTTCATGGGGTACAGTGAGGAGTTTTGACACATGTATGCACTGTGTAACGATCACATCATGTGTCTCATATTCCCACAAATCAGTTCTCATGTATTTGTGGCAAGAAGACTCAGAATCCCCTCTTCTAGTTACACTCCCCTGTGTATTGCAGCATTATTCACGTTAGCTAAAATATGGACTCAAGAAAGTGGCCATCAGCAGATGAGCAGATAAAGAAAATGCAGTAGGGGCTGGCGCTGTGGCTCTCTAGGTTGATCCTCCTCCTGCGGCGCCGGCATCCCAAATGGGCGCTGGGTTCTAGTCCCGGTTGCTCCTCTTCCAGTCCAGCTCTCTGCTGTGGCCCGGGAGGGCAGTGGAGGATGGCCCAAGTGTTTGGACGCCTGCACCCGCATGGGAGACCAGGAGGAGGCACCTGGCTCCTGGCTTCAGATTGGCACAGTGCGCCAGCCGTAGCAGCCATTTGGGGAGTGAACCAATGGAAGGAAGACCTTTTTCTCTGTCTCTCTCTCTCACTATCTAACTCTGCCTGTCAAATTAAAAAAAAGAAAAAGAAAAAGAAAATGCAGTATATAAGCTCAGTGGAGTAATGTGGAGGCATAAGAAAATAATGAAGCCCTGTAATTTGCAGCAACATAAACAAAATGTGTGTACCACAGACAATAAAGCCAAAAAAAAAAAAAAAAGAGAGAGAGAGAGAGAGAGAAGAAACTAAGGATATACTCCAAATTCTCCCTACTTGGAGATATCCATTGTTGACCTATTGGCACACTACTTTGAGGTCTTTGTGGCTTATGTCTCAGGGCAGCTCTTTGCACATGAAAGCGCAGTTATTTCATGCTAGTCTTACATGATGCACCAAACAACATTTCTCTAATTTGCAGGATTATTCATATAGACACCTGCCCCCCAGATCCTCCCATTTTTCCACCTTTTCTCTTCCAGCTTCAAGCAAACTCGATGCTGCCCTTATGAATGACTGAGCTCCAACTGTTAGGCTGCACCAGGTCAACATCATCCTAATAGTGACCCTCTCCTGTGTTTCTTTGTTCTCCCCAGCTTTTTGCAATCTTTGCATTTGCAACATGTGGTGGCTACTCTGGAGGCCTGCGGCTGAGCGTGGACTGCGTCAACAAGACAGAAAGTAACCTGAGCATTGACATAGCGTTTGCCTATCCATTCAGGTAGGAAATGGCGGTTCATGCACCTTACTGTGAAAGAGAGGGGGTTTTCTTCCTCTGTGGTTTCTCATAGAAACATGCATTCTCCCAGAGAGTTGTGGATAAACAGAATAGATTCTGCCTAAAGCCACAAAATGCCCAAAGTGCACATCCAGCCCCTACAAAGGGAAGATTTATGAGTTGTACCTTGCAATCCAGAGCTGACTGTCTTCAAAAGCAAATGCTACACATGGTCCAGCATTGAGGGATATCAACGCAGAGACTTCAGATACATGATTCCTTCCTCCTCCTCCAATTTCCTAATCTTGAGGTCTCCCAAATTCTCTCTAGAATGGTGCATCACCTTTAACTTCATAGTAACTATGCAGTTGTGTCTGACAATGTGTTTAATTATATCTAACACTACCTCCATGTGCTAGACATTGGGCTTAGCTAGGCTCTCATCACAGTGTCACTTTGAGGAGTACCATGACCATCAGCACTGACCAGTGGCAAAACTAAGGCACAGGTACCATTTGTCCATATGCCCTCAGCTCAGAGTAACAGCCAGGGTTTGAGTGCAACTGGCTTGAGCAAATGTTCATATTTCCATTGCTCTACTGAAACTGCTTAGAATAGCTCCTGTAACCTCTTTATAAATTCAGTATGAGACTCAATACCTTATCTACATATATGCCCTGTTTATAAAGTTAGATGCCTATCAGGCTTTGCCCCAAATCTGACATCTTATAATTCTGAACCATATATTCAAAGCAAGCTAACTAGATTCAATTTTGAAATCATTTATTTCTGAATTTTCCCCAAATACTTGGCACCAAGTAACTGGTATGATCTTAAAAAAAGAAAGCTTTCAACAGCCTAGCATAACATCAGTATTCTCTCTTCTTCTCTTGTTCATTTCAACTTAACAAGTACTTATTGAGTATAGATCTTGTGCCAGGCATGATGCTGGCCATATAAATACAAAAAAAAAAAAACTTAGCCCCCCAAAATCTTCTAAACAGAAAAGGAAAGTGTTTTCAAAAATATTTTCCATGGAACTATAGAAAACTGATTTCATTAAAAAGGAAGAGAATAAGCAAGATGGGGGAGGAGTGAAGAAGAGAGAAGTTAAGAGGAAGAATTTTAAAATATGATAAAATAAATTCAAGAAATATTTCTTGGTACTTTGCTTTTTAAATGCACACATCCATTATTGGTCTAGTGAACTTTTTGTAGTGTGAAATAAGGTGCCTTGGTGTCTAAGTTAAAAGTCATGAGGACATGGTATATATCCCGCTATTCTGACTGGTTTTTAAGAATGCAGCTTGAAGCAGTTGCAGACACTTCTTCAACTAGATAGTCTACACACTAACCAAAAAGAGAGTACAAAGTTCAAAAATAGGAAGCATGTAATCCCTGGTAATGTGTTTATTAGAGCTGTGCTGGGCTGGTAGAAATGCCCATGAAAGTCATTGACTTCGTTCATGAAATCATATGTTTTGCATTCCATCTATGGTGATTTCAACACCAAGAGGTATAGTAGGAGCAGTTAACTTTAAGGTCGGTTCCCTAAGATCTGAAGAGTAATGAGTCAGTAAACACTGAATTACTGGAGCACAGTAGTCCTTCACACAGGAGGAGAGCAATCAAGAGATCTTTCTGGAAAAGAAACAAGTGCGTGAGCTGCAGTGGGCATAGTAAGCAGGGTTGTTACAGAAATCCAAGGTGGAAAGACTGTCTTTGTTCAAACAGGCACCAGAGACAGTGGAATATTGAAGTACTTTATTATGCCAGCGGGCCCAGCTACAATCATTTCTTGAGAATAGAGCAACAGTCCCAAGTTTCTCACAATATTTATAGGCTCATCAGCATCATACCTTAGCTGTTACAGCATTGGTGGGTTTAAATTGCAGCCAGTGTGACTTAGGACCACACTTTCAATGGTCAGTGAGCCAGTATGTTTCTAAAAGAGATACTGGGGCAGATTTACTAGGACAGATTTATGACTGGAGTTATAGAAGCAGAACTTAAGACTTCTTCCCTCCATAGACAAGATAACAGTGGGCAGTTGCTTCACTAGTTAATTGCGAGTAGCCACTTTGCAAGGTCTGTGTTGGGAGGAGGGGTCTGCTTTTCTTTCTTTGTCTCTGGTTGTGGCTGTATTTCTTCTACAGGGTCATATTTCATTTCCTGCAATCCCTGACTCATGGTACAATTTGAGAACATTCTTTAACAAATTTTCTCCCATGGGGCTCCTTGATTTTATTCTCAAGGCAAAGTTGTATGGATCCGCCCAGTGAAAGGCAACATGGAGAAATTAGATAAAAGTGTTTACTGACACCAATAAGGTTAGCAGCCCCTGCATTTTATTTTATTTTATTTTATTTTATTATTTTTGACAGGCAGAGTTAGATATATAGAGAGAGACAGAAAGAAAGGTCTTCCTTTTTCCGTTGGTTCACCCCCCAAGTGGCTGCTACGGCCAGTGTGTTGCAGCTGGCGGGCTGCGCCAATCTGAAGCCAGGAGCCAGGTGCTTCCTCCTGGTCTCCCATGTGGGTGCAGGGCCCAAGGACCTGAGCCATCCTCCACTGCACTGCAGGCCACAGCAGAGAGCTGGACTGGAAGAGGAGCAACCAGGACAGAATCCAGCGCCCCAACTGGGACTAGAACTCGGGATGCCGGCGCCACAGGAGGAGGATTAGCCTAGTGAGTTGCAGCGCTGGCCAGCCCCTGCATTTTAAAATTGTTTATGTGCGTCCTAAAACAACGATGCTCAATTATTGTTTTTCTTAGTAGCACAGCTTGACTTTCAAACACTATGTCACTCAGAACCTCCATATATAAGACAGATGAGAGTCATGGTGAAAGTAGAAGCAGGGAAGAAGGGAGCTGAAGGTCCCTACGTAGTCCCCCTTAGCACTCTGTGTAGCACACACATACTCTACCCCACTCCTCCAACCCCATCCCATACAGCCTCTGCGGTATCTTCTGGGATCTTCAAGTCTCCTAGAAACCATTGAAATATGACCATTCTATAAGACAGTAAGAAACCTTTTTTCCCTCTTCTTACCATGTCTGTACAACATTTATTGCATACTAGCAAGGAATCTCTTCCCACTAGCATCCATCCAGGAGACATCCATGCCATTCTAAAGGGAATCAATTACACTAAAGTCTGCAATTTCAATTTTATATTCAAATACAAATTGTACCATTATTCTCCTACAGAACATGTCAGTAAGAAGCTCGATTTATACAGATTATTATGAAGGCATTTGCTTCAGAAACTGTAGAATTAGTTATCAGGATGTTATTTTCCCTTAAAACTTCCCAAGCCAATGCCAGTGATTTGATCAGAATCTTGAAAATAAGAGCATTCATCACTATTCAGATTATTACAATCGCAGGGAAGACAATAAACTCAAATCCCATGTCATTTGAATAAAAAACAATTAGTTTACAAATGACAGATCAAAGGAAGCTATTTAACTCATTATCACACAAGTACTTCAAGATGTAAAACATTGTCATTTTAGTAAATTGTAGATAGCATACAAAATACTGATGTGCTGTTCCTAATACATAACCAAAAAGTACAAATACTTATACCATCATACAGCGTATGTATTTTTGTCTCATACTTATATTAGAATTTGCATATATCAATATATCATTTACTGTAGGAAAAACATTTATCACCTGAACTAACTTGACTTTATTTAAGTGAAAAAGCAGTATTTCACTGTTTGCTCATCTGTTTTGTCCCATCTTTGTACATGCTTGATGATTGGGAAAAGGGTATTTCTGTATTCAGTATTTTTAGCGCGTCCTTTATCCATGGAAGTATCGAGTTGGGTTTCTCATTTTAAGCTGTTTCCTATGTTTGTAGCAGTCTACCTGAGGACTCACAGCAAATGTTTTACACTTACACATGCACAAATGGTGGCAAAGGTCAAAGTTGAGAATTTAGGGGCCTCTGGTAATGGTTTTCATAGCAAAGGCTACTTTTGAAGCATCAAAGAGATGAATGAATGAACACATACACAAATACTTACTGTAAGGGTGTAATATGCCAAATACTGTGCTACACATTTCCAAGTACATTATGTTATATGACTGTATAAGACTCTATGAGGAAGGTTACTGTTACACCAATTGAAATGACTGAGAGAAATCTGACAACATCACACAGAACATAAAATCTAAAGTTTGGATTTCATGCATTTTATTAATTTGCATAAAACTAAGAGGTAAGAAATATTCATCATGAACCATGGTGAGCAGAGAAACAATTCATGATGGAAAGAAGTGGTAAAATTGGAAAGGTGGTTTTCACCCAGATTAAAGGAGACTGAATTATAAGATGATTGAATAGGAAGGAGTTAACGGTGATAAAGAGAGAATAATAAGGAAAACCATTTTGAAATGTAGAGGATAAATTTGGATTTGATCACACAGTATTTGAGGCTCTTGAAAGAAGCCTGGAAGAATTTTCTTTCAGGCAGATTGATGTTAGACTTCATGAAGAAAGAAAGAGGTAAAGCTTAAGAATGGAGCATTAAGAGCCAGCCTCAAAGAGTGAAAGGGAAACATGGTTCTCTTAGAATTGTACCTGTGAAATACGTGAAATCTGTTCTGCTTATATTAATGAAAACTTTTTTAAAAGAAAGAAAAAGTAAGTCCCTGAAGAAGAGAGGTCACAAGAGACAGAACGGAAGCAGGTGGCCGACTATGGGGGATGCCCACACTTACAGAGATGAAGAGTCCCTGACAGAGACCAAGGAGAATGAAATGGGGAAGAGTTTGGAAAGTGTAGTTTTCATGGGAGATAAGAAAATCCCATGCACTTTAGCACTAGCAGTCCTGAGTACTTCACAGAAGTAAAAGCGTGAAACCAAGAAAAGGCTATCGAGTATAGCTTGTTAAAGGCTTTAGGAGATATTTCAGTGGGAAAGAAAGCATACCAAACTGCTGGAGGATAAGAAGTAGAATGAGGTGTATTTTACCTTACACAGTGAAATGCAAAATTCAAAAGACTAACAATCATCCAATAAGTCTGAGTTGATGATTTGGGCAAAAAATACATCAAGTTGGTTAATGATCTTCTTATAGACTAGTTCACCTCTTCATTCTTGAAAGTAATATGATCACTAGATGACTAATAAATTTGATAAACTTAGGCTGGGCAAATAAACTACTCATTAAGGTTTCCTGGTGTATAGCTATCTTCCATTAATTAAGAACTACTGAACAAAGAGAACAGAAGAGTTATAATAAGAAAATGCACTAGGGTGGGCTGCGTGGCAAGTGGTTGTAATGTGGACTGAGACAGCACCATCCCACATTTGAGTGCCTTGGTCCAGCGCCTACCTCTGTCTTGTGAACCCAGGTTCCTGCTTATGTAGGCTGTGGGAGACATTGGTGATGGCTCAAGTAATTGGATTCCTTCTACCCACATGAGAGATCTGGCTCCTGGCTCTGACTTAGCCTCACTCCTGCCTGTATGCATATTTAGGAAGTAAATCACTGACAGGAGTAATCTCCCTCTCCTTTCTCTTCCCCAATCCCAAATTAAGCAAAATAATAACACATTCATTAAATTAGTTGTCATGTCACTTTCATGTCTTGAGATCCCATCAGGATGAAAAAAGAGTAAGTTAGCTACTATCTCAAGCATTCTTTTGAATATGAGATTAGTAGTCATAATTCTAGGTAATTAGTAAGTAGTCTTTGATAAATTTACCCCCAAAAATACTTAGAGATAGAATAAAGTCTGAGCAGAGATATTTATTGTCAAATCATTTGAGATACTGGGAAATTATAAATGGAGATCAGTATTGTGAAACGTGATATACTGTCAACATAATATTAAGTGACACAGCTGAATGAGACTCTATGTATGTGGGATGGCATAGATTTGTTTAACTGTATATTGGCTGACTGTAGCAGACACTGCCATTGCCACCCATTTTTCCTACTCTTTGACTAATTGTGCCTACACTTTTTTCTCAGAGTCCCTGTTACTGTTGAAGGGATTTCTCTAACCATAGGAACTTGCTTGGTCAGTAGACCAGGCAGGCAAGAAATGCTGAGGGGCTAATATCCCATAGAGCAACCCACATCCATTGACAAATCTGAGTTGGAGAATACATATCCCAACTTCCTCAACTCTAAGGCTGGTTCTGTACTATCCCTCATAGTTACCCAGCAGGATGGCTGCACTCTGGTCCTTTTTTTCTTAACCTTTTATTTAATGAGTATAAATTTCATGAGTACATTTTTAGGAATACAGTAATTCTTCCCACCATACCTTCCCTCCGAACCCACACTTCCTCTCCACTTCCTCCTCTGTCTCCCATTACTAGTCCCTTTGTCCATTAAGATTCATTTTTCAATTTACTTTATATACAAAATACCAATTCTATACTAAGTAAAGATTTCAACTATTTGCACTCACACACATATACAAAATATTAAGAAAAAACTCAGAACAAGTTTTACAGTTAAATCTCATAGTATGACTCATTTAGGACAGAGGTCCTGCATGAGGAGTAAGTGCACAGTGACTCCTGCTGTTAATTTAACAATTAACACTCTTATGTATGACGTCAGTGATCACCTGAGGCTCTTGACGTGAACTGCCAAGGCTATGGAAGCCTTTTGAGTCCACAGTTTCCATCAGTATTTGGACAAGGCCATAAGCAAAGTGGAAGTTCCCTCCTCCCTTCAGAAAAAAGTACTTCCTTCTTTGATGACCCCTTCTTTCCACTGGAGTCTCATTCACAGAGATCCTTCATGTAGGATTTTTTTTTTTTTTGCCACAGTGTCTTGGCTTTCCATGCCTGGAATGCTCTCATGGATTTTCAGCCAGATCAGATGCCTTAAGGGCTGATTCTGAGATCAGTGCACTCTGATCTTTAACTCACCTTTTTAATTACCTTCTAGTGTTTCCAGGGATAAATCCTCCAAAAGGGAGTTGTACTCAATTCTTGATCACAGGGTCTGTTTCTGAAAGTCGAACCTAAAACACTGGCATACTTTAGAAAATTATCATCATTAAAGAAAATAGATGGATACATATTTGATTGTTCATTGGATAGAGCAGATAGCTATTTCCTTTCACTCTAAATCATGTTACATAATATAGTTCATACAAAAAACAAAACAAACTTGGTAGGAAATCAATAGCTACAAGTCAAAACATTTCCTTTTTGGTTTTCAGTTCAAGGTCTCATATATGAAGCCATAGTTGTTCTCCATCCATAGTATCTTAATCAATATGGTAGGGCTTCCCTGATTGGCAGTTATAGTAGGATGTGCTTCAACCTCATTTTTCAGATTTTCTGAAAAGTAGATCATTACTCAGATGTTGGAGGATTTCATGCACCTCTGAAATCCATTTTGTGTAAGACATAATCTCTATTTTTGGTCAGTCCATAATATATTCTCCAGTATATTCTATATATATTCCAATATATTCCCCAATATATTCTCCAAATCTGGTGTTAAATATTAGTTTTCTCATGGGATACCCAAAGTACACACATTAAATTGTGTTTATAAAAGATTATACCATAGCTATCACATAAAAATGCCATTTATTTCTAGGCAGTGAGAGTGTGAGTACATGAAATATTCTTTTTACCCTTGTCCATATTTTTTAGATATTCTACAGTAAGCTTTTATGATTTTTTATATTGTTAATCTGAAGAAACAGTATAGTTTGAATTTTAGAGACAGATTATTTGCATTCAAATCTGCACTCAGCTATTTATTAGCTATGTACTGTTGAGAAAATTGCTTATCATTTCTGTTTCTTATCTGTGGAATGTCAACTAATTCATAATATTGTTGCATTAATTGAGACATGTATATGAAATGCTTAATACAAGACCTGGCATTCAGTGAGTTTTACTTTAGTAAATTATTTTTGTTTATAATCAAGTAGAGGTAATTAAAAATAAACATAATAACTAAAAATATGGAATTATTTTTACTAGTTAGCAAAATTATCCTTGAGACAACAAATGCCTCCTTTATTATATTTAACCCAGAGTGGTTACTTCTGCATATCTCTTCTCTCTCTCTCCCCTTCTACCCCCCCCCACCCTCTTCTCTCTCACTCCTTTTCCTTCACTCCCTTTTTCCTCATATTCAAATAATAAAAAGTATAAATATCTTAGCTATCTTACATTAACTTGCTTTTAGCTCTTGAAATCCTTGAAGAATTCCAGGAGAGGGTCTTTTGTATGGATACAACAGTAAGCTGGGACTGCTTCATTGAGCTCTGGCTGGCTGGACACTGTTCCCCTCCTCGTGGCTCCAGCATCTTATTCCATTGCTCTATTACTTCTACTTGAAATATGGATACAGATGGAAGTAGATACCAGGAAAGCTGTAGGGGTTTGGCCGTTATCTGGCAATGTAGCTCTTAGAAAACATGTTTTCTAAGATTCATATCCAAAAGCAGTGATGATAAACATTTTTACCATAAAAGCCAAACTGGGGAAAATAAAAGTGTTAAGGGCTACAATTTTTTTATTCCTTGTGTTCAGGAAATGCTGTATATGCAATTACACTTAAGCATGCATTTATAGTTTTGCATAACCAAAGAGTTTCACTCTTTATGGCTAAAATTTCAGAAAATTTATAACCACAGTATCTTATTTTAATGTTGTGCCTTAAACTATATTTTCTGTATAATGAGATCTGGTGGCTCTATGAGGCAGAGAATTGGAAAGATTTGAAAGTCATGTGACCAAAGCATCAATGGAGAATCTCTAGCCAATCCTTGGCTGCAATCCGAGCTTTGCTAGTGCATGGGCAGAGAGGCTCAGCAGCTATCTTCCAGGTACATGACTTCCCTGGGCCTCTGTTTTCTTATTGTATAAAGGAAATAATGATTATTCAATTTAGGTGATGGCAAGTAAATTGTGTAGTGTGGAATCTGGCATGTGTCAGGTGTTCACTGAATTGTATCATTACTGTCGTAATTATTATTAACTTAGTCTGGTGCAAGAAATTGGCCTCAGAGTTCAGCTTTAATGTCACTTCTAGTATGTACCTCCATCTACCACCCAGTACTGTGGGGCACCTTTTTCCATCTCTTTTGATTGTGATATTGGTTAGTGTTGGTCAAGAAGGTCAATATTTTAAGTTTCTTCTTCCTGATGCTGATTTGTGGGTATCCCTTTGGGCTACTAGTTTTTCAGCACTGCATGAGTGCATCAACTTAGACAGTCGAAACACAAGTGGGCAGGCAGCTTAATTTCTCTTGAATGATGACTCTCCATGATTCCATTGAGACATGTTTGGAAATGCATTTTTGAAGACCAGAATGCAATGAGAAATTTATGAAATGGATAATAATTCCATTTTATGGAATGTGGTTTTAAACAAGTCATTGCCTATTGTATCAGTTCAAGTCCATGAACGAAAAGAGAACTCATGCCAGATGATTCAATTAAAAAGAGTTGTAACGCAGGGAACTTGGTACACAGGGCATAGATGTGTGGATGATTGAAAAGGGGCCCGGGAAGCAATCAGGAGATTAGCAACTCTGTGAAGCCACTACTGCTCCTGAGACTAGAGCAGAGATTGGCAAAGTCCAGCCTTTGTGCCAAACCCAGCCAGTCTACTGCCTGCTTTTATGTGGCCCACAGGCTATGAATAGTTCAGACATTTTATAATAATTATATTTAATTCTTTTTAAAATGCATGTTTGAGAGGCAGAGCAAAAGTGATAGAAACACAGAAATCCCTCATCTGCTGGTCCACTCCTCAGATGCCAACAACAGCTAGGCTTAGGCCAGTTGAGAACTCAGTCTAAGTCTCTCATATGGGTGATAGGAACCCAGTTATTGGAGACATCATCTGTTGCCTCCCAGGGTTGGCATTAGTAGGAAACTGGAATCAGGAGAGGAGCCAGGACATGAACCCTGGCACTCTGATATGTGATAGGGGCCTGCCAAGTGGTGCCTTAACCACCATGCCAAATTCCCGCCCTTAAATGATTATATATTAAATGCTATCTTGTGCCTATAAAATATCCTCAATTTTGCCTCTTGGCCTGCAAAGTGTGACATATATAACATCTGGTCCTTTAAAAAAAATACAGTTGTTTGCCTCTTGGCCTGTAAGGTCTAACATATATGATACCTGGTCCTTTAAAAAAAAATACAGTTGCTGAGAATGAGCTATAAAGGAGGGAGTGATCCTATTAGAATGCAAGGTGGTACCTGTCTGCAGAAGCTGGGACCATGGTGAGATGAAGTGTCCAGTAGGAGCAGGAACCAAGGAGAAGCAGCTGCTGCTGCCAGAGATGTTCCCCAAAGCAGCATTAGAATGAGGGAGAGAAATAACCTGGCTGCCCACTGGCTCCTTCCCTCCAGTCTCCTCCCAGAGCTTCCCATTGGCTGAGTGTTACTGGAAGCAGTTGGTCAAGATCAGACCCTAGAGATGCAGAGTAGGGCGGGGCAGGGAATGGGAAAAAGACAGGCAATAATTAGCACAGCACCTTTGGCTCAATCCCACCTTCCTCATCTACAAATGAGAAAGTTTGGTTAAAGTCTTCTTAAGAGAGAATTAGACCTCCTGGAGAATGGTAGAAGTTGACCTTGGCTAGGAATCCTGGTGGTGCTCCAGCTACTTCTGCTCCAGAAAGAGCAGAGGCAATGCAGAAATTCAATAAAACTATTCCCTGTGTGTCTCTTTCAGATTCACAGGGCTTGCTCTGATGCAAGTCCTATTTAGGTAAAATCTCAACAGGCTTTCAGAGACCAGGATTAGAACACTTATTGACAATAGTTGTAGTTTATATAATCAAGGCCTTTGTTTCTGTTGAGCTCCCATAGGGTGGTGACAAAGGGCAGAGATTAAATCAGTAGTACTGAGTGGGCTTTTTACGTAGTTCTGGGTCTCACTGTGTGTAATTTTACAGAGCAGTCAGGGGTGAATATGGTGGGACGAACTTCATTACCTGGAAGAAACCTTGTACCCTAGAGGAACACAGACATTTCTTTATTTAATGTTATAAAATAAGTTCTTTATATCTGTTTTCTTTCCTAGAACAGGACAGAGAGGGAGAGAGAGGAGATGGTGAGCTGCACGACTGACTTGAGTGGCCTAGAAAAGCACAAAGGAATCCAATCCGTGATAGCTGAGAAAGTGACAAGGAAACATCCTGTCTATCCATGATGTCATTTGCCTTTAAATGCTAAGTGCCCATTCCATGATCCCATTAACCTCTATCTCTGCTGCCTTCTCCTCACGGAAGCGAGAAATGTGGGACCTTTCTTTGTATCACCTCGAGCAGATGGCTGGAAGTTACACACAGTGTACCTTACAAAGTCAAGTTGGTGTCATTTTACTAGTGGATGTTATATCTTAATGTTAGCCGTCGCAAAGCACACCGGACACCGGAGTAAGGGAAAGGGTTTATTGGGGAACACCCTACAGACAGGAGTGAAGGGGCGGCGAAGGAATAAGAGAGAAACAGAGAGGAGAGGAGCTAGCAAGGAGAGAAGATAGAGCAGAGCAGAGGAGAGAGGAGAGCAGAGCCAAGAGACCAGAGGAGGAGGCTAGAGAGAGGAACCAAAAGAGAGCAGAAGCGAAGGGCCAAGAGCCAAGAGCCCAGAGGAGGAGGCTGGAGAGAGGAACCGAGAGAGAGAGCAGGAGGGAAGGGGCAAGAGAGAGCAAGGAGCAGAGCTGAGAGAGAGCAGGAGAGAAGGGCCAAGAGAGCACGTGTTCAGGAACAGGCCCTTTTAAAACTTTGCCTGAGGGCGGGCAGGGAAGCAAGAGCAGCCAATCCCATTAGGATGGGGGTGGAGCCTGGCTCAGGTAGCTGGGCCATGCAGTGAACTGCGCCAGTTTCCCATCAGTGGAGACCTGGGATTCCCCTTCCTGCCCCAAACTCACCTTCTACCTGACAGAGTGGCACTCTGTGAGCCATGGGATGAATTGCATTCTCTAGGAGTTGCAAGGTCAAAGGAAAAGGAAGCAAGTACTGAAGCTACTCATTAGCCAGATGTTCCAGTAGCATAGAACTGGGACATGAAAGCATCAGGGCCTGGGGTGACACTTGTAAGACTAGGAATCACATACCTAATTTCTGTTCCAAGACCCTATTGTGGGAATTCACAGGACCTTAGAATCATGAGGTTCAGGGGCTCCCTTCTTGAATCATATCCTGTAGCAAGTTTTTTAAAAATGCAGATTCCAAGATTCCACCTCAGACATACCAGGTCAGCATCAATACAGGTGAGGTCCAGGACTAACATTTTAGTAAGCACCCATATAATTCTAAGACCGGCAGAAATTAAATTATTGCTGACCTAAAAAGAATTGGGTAGAGCTTCAGTTTGCAATAGCCTGATATTTTGTGTTTAAACATTGATGGATTTAAAAAAAGTATTTGGGATTACATTTCGTTTTACACAAATACTTGCCTTACTTACTATATTTAACACAATAAAACAGAAAAGTATGCTGAATGAGCAAGTGGATGTTTATATTTTCTGTTACAGTAACTATTACTCTTAGAAAGCCCATAAACTTGTTAAAATACGATACGTAATTTAACTACAGTAGTAATGAGCAAACTAAGACAGTTTTATTCCTCCCACAGTGGGGTTTTGAGCATGACCCCTTAAAAAGGCTGAAGTCTTTGTTGCTCTTTTCCCTTAGGTCAAGCAGAAGTAACAGTATAAATCAGAGACATTGTCCTGTTAGTGCACACGTGTCTGTGTGTGTATAATATATTTCCATATAATGATTGACGATTCACTGGGGTCATTGTCCCCTTGATTATTACAAAAGCACTGTACTAGAGTCAGCGTCTCATGCTTTTTGTTCCCTTCATCATAGATCAGCACACAGAGACAAGCTTTGTTGAAGGCCACAGAACTGGAAAATACCACACGAAAGCCTGCTCAAATTAGGGGTCTCAATGGACTTGTTTAGCACCATCCCAAACTCCTTCTAGAAACACTGAGTGATGATGAAGATGATAATGAAGGCCATCATCATCAACAACATCATTCTCATCAAATAAAAGCCATTATGGATAGTTTTACCATACATCAGAAACTGCAAAGCATATTACATTTATTAGACGCCTTAGTGCTAATAATACCCCTATGAGATAACTGCTTACAATTCCGAAGATAAGAAAACTAAGCTTTTCTGAGGTTAGATGAGTTTCCCAAGTTCACAAAACTGAAAAGTGCAAGGCAGACTTTGAATATGTGGGTCTGGCTCCCTCCAAAGACCATGATGTTGGCCGCCACACCGTGAAGACAGCAGAGATACACTTGAGTTGACCACTTGCCACAGCCATAGAGCTCCTTCCTTGCTCCTAGATTTATAGCTGACTCACCATAGCAGGCAAGTAAGACAGGCCAGGAGATTGAGGGAATGTTCTCTGGGAACACTGTGGTCTTTGGGACTTGGATTCCTGGCATTTTCTTCCAATTGATTTCTTGAATCCAGGAATAAACAGTTAAAGACAAAAAAGCTCCAGGCTGGAGCTAATGATTTCCCTTTTTTCTTTGTGAACTAGCAAGAATTTGAAATAAAGAAGCTGTTGTTGATTCAGTTTGTAGAATTTAATGTATTTCATTTTGAAAGATGCTCTGCCAGAGTGGTAGCTGTCACTTGTGACTGGCTGTGAAGGAGTCACACGAATGATAGGGTTTTCTAAGATACAGTTATTTCATGGGTTAAGAGCTATGGGAGATACTCATTTCTCTGGTAAAGAGGTGGACTCTGGAAAACAGCGGGAGTAGAGTAAAGAGGCCCCAGATACCAATCAGGGGATGTGAACATCTCTGATTGCAATGAAGGAACTTTAGTTGCACTGCTCCTTAGTTTCAACTGGTCATAGCAGGCAATCAGCCTTCCCATGTCCTTTTCTTTTCTTTGTGTCTGGAGTCTACCAACTACTCAGCAAAATAGCAATCAGTCCAGTTGAAAAACAGGCAAAGAATCCGAATAGATGTTTCTCAGAAAAAGAAGTACAAATATCATCAAATGCATTGAAAAACTGCTCAGTGTCACTAGGTATCAGGGAAACACAAATCAAAATCAAAATGATATAGCAGCTTGTTCCACTCTGTATGGCTGGTATCAGAAAGACAAAAGGTAACATGTTGGTAAGGGTGGGGAGATAAGAGAATTCTTTATATACTGCTGGTAGGAGAGTGAATTATTGCAGCCATTAGGGAGAACAATATGGCAGTTACTCAAAAAACTACAAGTAAATCTACCATGCAGCTAAAATTTTTGACGAAGAGTATACTCAAGTTTCTTTAAATATAATCATTGACAAACCCATCTTCTCACTTGGCCACCCTAACCCAGCTGATGTATTAAATCAGTATTCCTGAGCGCATTCCTGAAAGATTTATTTATCTACACAACGCATTTTCAGTATGGTGCTTAACACTGACAGGAACTTAAAAATGAAGAGGAAACAGACTCTCTTTTCATAGAGTTTCTTCTTTTTAAAGAATAGCTCAATATTGCTAAAAGTGAGACTCAGAGAGATTACATAGCCCCCTACCACCCACAACCAATCCTTGGTTATAAATGAATTTGTACTGATGTCCCTAAAGTCCTTACCCAATATGACCATTGCACATAGTCACAAGGCAGAGAGTTATAATTAAAGTCCTGTTACTCTTTACTGATGACATGAAGGTCTGTAATCAATCTCTAAATTAACAATTCAATATTTACACAGTGTGATAGAACTGTTGAGAATTCATATCTAAGTTAATTTGTATCATAATGTTCATCCTAACAACCCTCATTAAATAATGGCATTAACAGGAATCCATTTAATAGTGGTTACAAAGAGAACTTATTTCTGAATCACTCATAGATAGAAAGGTTTCATTGAAGAGTTTATCTTCAGGATTAATTTCCAGAATTTATTCTTGTTTCTTTGAGATTTAGTCTATCGCCAACATGAGAAGGGACTGATTTCTTATATCTTTATGTGAGGCACCACAGCAGTTGTCAAGAGGGAATGAATGCCACCAACAATACACCATTAAATAGGATTTTTTGTCAGTGCAAGCTACTGTCTCTGACATGAACTTTCCTTCTTCCAAATCTAAAATTACTGCTGTGATTACCATGAACTTTAGAAATGGAATTCAGACCCTCTGTGGAGTGTTTGTTCTCTATAGAATGATTAGTTTAATGTTTGCTTTATACACATCAAAAAAAGTAAACCATAAATATCCCATATTGGAACAAATAGAATCATAGAAGAAAATGAATGTAAATGCCTTATGTTGTGCAAGACTAAATGAAAATGTAATGTGAATTCCTTCATAACTCAGACTCATCACTGGTGCCAGATGACTGTGTTTCTGTAGTTTTAAGAATCACTTCAATTTTCAACCAAATGCCATGAGCCAGATAAACAGTGTTTCTCTGGCACTTCT